GAACGCTTTTAACGACTTTTTTACAAACTCATAGGAAACAGTCGATAAGGACAAGCCCGAACCTACTTCTATTCCACATAGTCAATGTAACTCAATTTTTTTTGACCCCAATCATACCCTTAGATGTTGTTAAATCTATTAATTTATTAAAAAATACTAATAGTGTAGGTTTTGATAGTGTTTCCACTAAGATTATTAAAACAGTAGGTATATAATAGCTCACATCTTGTGCTACGTTATAAATTTATAGGGAATAATAAATATATATTTTACAGGGAATATTTCCAGATATATTGAAATTGGCAATTACTATCCCAATATTCAAAAAGGATGACAAGAAGCTGTTAAAAAACTATCGTCCTATTTCACTAATTTCAATATTTTCAAAGTTAATAGAACACATTATATATAAAAAATAAACGATTACTTTGAAAGCAATAATCTATTTTCGAAGCATCAATACGGCTTTCGAAAAGATAAATCTATTACTATGGCTATATACGAGTTTTTGGAAAGGGTCGTAAAAAACGTTAACAACCGAAAGCCTACACTAGCACTATTTATGGATATGACCAAAGCATTTGAGAATATTAATCATAAAACTTTATTTAATAAACTAGAAAGTTATGGTATAAGAGGCAACGCCCTAAAGATAATCGAATGTTACTTAAGTAATAGAAGACAAATTACACATATAACCAAAGTAAACTCTAAGACCGGTGAAAACAAAATATACAGATCGAAAGAGAGTCAAGTAAACTATGGAGTACCACAGGGAAGTGTACGGAGCCCTCTCCTTTTTATTATCTATATAAATGACTTTCCTAATGTAATCAACCATCATATGACTATTTTTGCTGACGATAGTACTGTTATATTTACTTATGATAATGAGAATAATATAAATATTGACATTAATAATACATTGACATCTTTATTCAAATAACCTGACAATAACACATATAATAAATTTTAAACAAAGAAATAATCATCCTTTAAATTTTGACATTAACTACTCTGGGAATTCAATTAAAGAAGTAGACACTACAAAATTTTTGGGTTTGACTATAGCTAATAAGCTGACATGAAAACCTCATATTAATAATCTAATTAAAAAACTAAATCAATTCTCTTGTGCCCTTTATAAACTAAGGAAGGTTGCCAGTGTTAAAACTATTCTAACAGCCTATCACGGATATGTTGCATCAAACTTAAGGTATGGAATAATATTTTGGGCCAACACAACTGAAAAACAAAGTGTCCTCAAAGCGCAAAAAAAGTGTGTTAGATCGATGTTCGGTCTAAATCAGGTTGCTTCATATGAACCGTACTTTCGCAAATATAAAATTCTGACTCTACCGTGTATGTATATATATATGAGGTTACAAACTTTGTTCGAAATAACCCAATTTATTTTGAAATGAATACTGCCGGAAGTCGTCGTGAAGGCACATTGAAAGTTAACCACAAATGTAAACCACTTCTTCGAAGAATGTGTGTAAATTGCATGGCACCAAAAATCTGTAATAAAATCCCATTAAATATCCGATTAATTAGTGATGTCAAAGATTTAAAACTGCGCTCAATGGCTTCCTTGTTGAAAAAGTGTACTATGACATAAGAATATTTTTTGATGACAAAATGTAAAAATAACTTCAATTTTGTTCATATACCTCTAAGGTAAAACATGGCTGTATCTAATAATAATTTTATATGTGACATCCTGTAATACCCATTCTTATGAATTAATAAATGATTGAATTAATAGCATAAAGATCGTATGAAAATCTAAACGGAATCAAGAAATCGGAAAAAAGAATTGTTTTGATATTTGTGTTCAGGTCATTGGTTCTGATAATGTAATATTTAAAAAAAAAATCGAAAAGTACTCGAGTTACGTAACTCGAATTGGCGGAACGAAGCTGTGTCAGTTTGTTACAAATTACTTTTATATATTTTATAATTCTCCATTCAACATAATTATTATTACCAAACTTAATACGAAGTTATATATTTTTGGTTTGCGTATACGCAAACCAAAAATATATAACTTGACTATAGACAATCTTCATAACATAATATCACTCTAACTTTATGACAATTATACTTAATCAGTTTATTGATATTACATAATATATCGATAAATTGTTCGAATTAATAAGTCGAGTTAATCACTAAATTCTAGACAGACACTGCATTGACCGCAAGATAAAAATGCGACTCAAGTAGAATTTTGTGACTCAAGTAACGCGAGTTAATAATAATTTATCATGTTACTCTAGTTATACTTAAGTTTTTAAGTTATTCGAACTGACTTTTTACTGAAGTTTATCACTCGAGTTGAGAGTAGCGAATACTTTAATAAAAGCATTTTTAAATAGGTACCTTTATTAAAAATGTAAAATGTGGCAATGTGAAATAAAAACAAATATTTATTTATTTGTTTACAACATACCAAGATACAAGTTTGAATTTCGATGTAACCAATGACATCACCCGCGGCGCCTTATACTATGTGAATTAGTTGATTAGATGATAGAATTAATGGGTTAGTGAACTGACATCTATCTAGTGCTCTCCGAAGAACCCACACGGTGCGTCAAGTTAACTCGGTAACTCGAGTGCAAGCGGACTCGAGTAAAATTTATTTTCACTCGAGTATCGAGTTACACAAATTCACTGACAGAGGCACTGTAATTGTTAATATATTATATACGTTAAAATAATTTTTGGTAGCAAAATTAGTTAATAGCAAAAAAGTTTATACATTTTGTTTATATTGTTTGTTTACAAGAAAATGAAATAAATATCCTCTCATCGATGCACAAGTGTTAAACATAATATGGAGACTATCATTTAGGTTAGCCAATGTACACATTGCCTATGACATTCGAATCGAAATTGGAGAAAAAATACTAATTAGTTTAGTTGGTAATGTATATATATGTAATACAAAAGTTTACTTTTACACCTAGAATTTCGGAAAGTCTAAATAAGATCTATAATTTATGATGAATCCCTAAAAAAATGACAAACACAGGTCTTAGAACCTTGTTAAAAGTATTAAAGTTTTATGTTATTAGTGAAATCTAAATTAAATAATAGATAGAATAAATACATGAAACAATTGTTTGTGTTTGTTAAAAGAAAATTAGAATATATGGGTCGTTTAGCTTCTCTACTTGATTTCATCGGCTTTGAAGAGCGATTTATTTAACTGTATTTAGATATAAATACCTTATGTATTCAGCAAGTTGTTCCAAAACTTGACAATACCAAATGGCATAAAACATGGATCACAAATTTATGCCGGCCACAGTAGATAGACAGTACAGATAGTACATATCTTTATGTGTAAATAAGTAGTAATTACTTGTACTAGAAGCAAGTGTACAGTTTGCATAAGTATTGTAACTTAGTTAAGCCATTTTTACTTGTGTAATGGTTATATCCTTGTTATGTGTTGTTAGCTCTGCAAAAAGGGATATTATTTTGTAATCTATTACCACATAGCTAATACAAAATAATATATAAATAATATACATAGTTAAATATTGTTGATGTAAATCCATAATTACTACTTGTATATTTGGTCATCTGGAGCTGATTAATGGTGTATATTTTAAAACAATTTCTTATTTATTTAACATACTGGAAGGGACAACAAAATACTGACAGAAATATGGAAATGTAGTTTATTGACATTGAAGTATAGTGTATACATATCTTATCTCATATCTCTTATTACTGAAAATGTCCCGATTTTTAACAATAATATCATACGTGGATGTGGTTTTTTTTGCTTTAAATTGTTCGAAATGGAAACCAATACAAACACAAACATAGACCTCACATGCTATTTAGATAGCAGTAAATATAGAAAAAATAATATATACAATATTTATTAACTTTTTTCAGGTGAATCGTGCATACAATAAATGTCTTGTAGGCTGAAATCTTGCAGAGCTGCTCGTAGGCAGAGAAAAAAGTATATGGATATTGAATACAACTACAATAGTTATATATCATATCTCATGACATTAAAAATATCCTTGTTTTGTTATTATCAAGTTATTTTGAAATGATAATGACTTACAATAATATCATAAAATACATTTAATTTAAAATTAAATATTACAATTAAATTAAACATGTGTTTTTGTTATCCTTACACAACCAGTTTAAAACATCTTAGTTCATATTTATGTGTGTAATAACATAGATAAGCATGATATTACCTAGTCATTTTGGCTTTAATGGTATTTGGGGTATGATAACTAATCAGTTAATATATTTTAAAACAAAGTTTACACACTGCACCTTTACCGATTCAACCAAAACATATTAAAGTCTTGACACCGCACCTGTCTGTTCCACTATTAATAGACTGCTTTGGAAATAATTACAACAACAAATGCAGTGGCATTTTACTTTGTGTTTTAGCCTTATACAACCAGTTTATAACATCTTACTATATAGCATGTAAAGGTAATATTATAATATCATATTATCCGTTATTCATCTTGTCTTTAATCATATTTATTTAATTAATTTAATGGTGTTTGTGATGTATATTCACTAATCAATTAATACCTGTGAAAAATTGTCCCCACACTACGTTTGTTTGTCTGTACACTAAGGAAGTGTTTAAAAGGATTTTCCACCTGCATGGCAACTATGGCAAATATGACGCAATCCACGGGGGAAGCCTATGTTCAACAGAGTAGTTTTAAAGGCTGTAACGGTAACGATAAACGTCGAAGTGAAAAAAGTAAAACGTAAACTATCATTTAAATAAAAAGAAAATCTGAAGGTCTAGTCTGTTTCCATTAACCTCCATTCACACATACGGTATTTATTTTAAGGTTCCATTTTTTTTTTGCTTTCTACCGACTTCAAAAAGGAGGAGGTACTCAATTCGACTGTATGTTCTTTTATATGTTTATTACGTCTTAACTTATTCTGCATGAACCGATTTCGATAATTCTTTTTTTTTATTTGAAAGTTGGTGCTTCACATGTGATCCCATATAAATTTGATCAAGGTCTGACCAATAGTTTTTGAATTATTCTTAATAATTTTCAAATTAGATATTGAGTTAATTTCTTCAGAATAAATGCAGTTTCAATTTGCACATAAGGCACGGAAAGGTTTTTCTATTTGTCATATAATTACATCACAAATTCACAAAACATAGATTTTTATCTGGTACACATATATTTATATAAAACACGTTTATACAATTTTTCTTTTCTTTTTGTTAAAAACGTTACCCCCACACTAGGATTTTCTCCTGTATCGTGGAGGCAGTTTATAAACACAAATTGCACAAGGACAAACATCCAGACACGGAACAATTTCTTGTAGGCCATACAAATACTTGTTCCGTGCGGGATTCGAACCCGCGCCCCCCAGCGCAGCAACTCATTGCTAAGCCACTGCGCCACGGAGCCGTCGGTACATATTTTACCAGATAGCTCACGAAAAAGGTTTTGCATCAGTGTGTGTTTTTAAATGTCTTTGCATATCATATTTTCTAATAAATCTATATTCACAAATATTACACGAAAAAGGCTTTTCACCAGTATGTATTTTCATATGTTTTTGCAAATCACTTTTTGTAATACATCTATATTCACAGATATTACACGAAAAAGGCTTTTCACCGGTGTGTCTTTTCACATGTGTTTTCAAACTACTCTTTGCAATACATCTATATTCACAGAAATTACACGAAAATGGTTTTTCACCGGTGTGTATTTTCATATGTATTTGCAAATGACTTTTTGTAATACATCTACATTCACAGATATTACACGAAAACGGTTTTTCTCCAGTATGTATTTTCATATGGGTTTGCAAATAACTTTTTGTAATACATCTATATTCACAGATATTACACGAAAAAGGTTTTTCTCCAGTATGTATTTTCATATGGGTTTGCAAATTCCTTTTTGTAATACATCTATATTCACAGATATTACACGAAAAAGGTTTTTCACCAGTGTGTATTTTCATATGTCTTTGGAAATTTCTTTTAGTAATACATCTATATTCACAAATATTACACGAAAAAGGTTTTTCACCGGTGTGTATTTTCATATGGTCTTGCAAACGACTTTTTGTAATACATCTATATTCACAGACATTACATGAAAAAGGTTTTTCTCCGGTATGTATTTTCATATGTTTTCGCAACTGACTTTTTCTAATACATTTATATTCACAATTATTACAACAGTACATTTGTTTAGCGACGTGCGCTTTAAGATGTGCCAAAATGTGTTTTTGAGATGTTTTAAATTCGCAAATATCACAATTAAATATTTCTGTTTGTTGTGGTACTGGAGTTTGTTCTACTTGTGTCCGAACTGCAGTGGTGTCCGAGTTCTTTTGCGACTTATGACTGTATGAAATGTGTTTGGCGAGAATATCTTTTGTTGAAAGTTTTTTACTACAACCATCAGATTCAAAAATGTATTTAGTTGATGTCCCAGATGTTTTTTTCTTAAGTATATTTACACTCTTTTGTTTCAAAATGTTGTTTTTCATAATCTTTGCAGGATGCTTTTCTTTTTTATTAATCGGTAGATTATCTTTTTTCATTTTAGGGTTTGATTCAATAGGAGGGCCTTCAAAGTCGAGGTCTTCTTCACGAACATCGCTTATGTTAAAATCAGTAGAATTTGAATTAATCTTCTTCTCAGAAGTTTCTGAAAAATTATTTGTTGAAGTTAAACTTTTTATTTATTGTAAGTTATTGCATTTTTATTGCAAGACACCTTAAACGGTTTACAATGGGCGGAGTTTATGAGTTATGGCATTCTCTATCAGTTAACCCAGGGAGAAATAAGGAAATTATAATATTTTACATAATAATACTACATAATGTTGCTAGATATAATCTAGCCGAATTTTTTTATAGGATAAGGTTGACAAACGAGCAGGGCTCGGAAACCGGTTTAAATTCTAAACCGGTTTTGGGGTCAATGACCGAAACCGGTTTTTACGGAATACCGGTATTCACAAATTTCGGTTTAGGTAGTAAGAATTAACCGGTTAAAACCAAGTTTTGTAATGTCCCCCTCTCCCTTACCCCGCTAGCACCCAACTTTGTACGGCTGCCTTCTATTTGATTCCCGAGGTTTTTCGACACTTGAACGATATATAAATTGCATCAACGCGACTGCCTTGTAACGTACTCCCTCAAATTTTTTCATCTTTCAGCAACGATCGTATTATAAATAACAGATTTAAGTTCTGTTTCAATTAATTATGCGTTATCTTTACTTTAAAATTAAGTTTCGATATAAAGTTTAATTTGACCTTATACAAAGTGACGATGAAGTTATCACGTTAAATGAAAAGACGTATTCTATACAAAGTTCTTTAAACATACACAACTAAAAAAATATATAACAATTAACATTCTGGGCGCGGTAGCCTTTTTTTTTGTTTTAATATTAAACAACATCATGTAAATGCATCAGATATCACCTGATAAATACTAGAAGTTCAAAGACCCATGGCCCGTGAAGGCCAAGAGACCTATATTGTATTATAGTGCAACGTTGCCAATTTTAAATAATCAAATAAAGTAATAAATTAAGCAAAAAATGTACTTATATGTAACAAAATAAGGCATAATTTTTTTTCTTTCTAACAACTTCTTTCTAACAACTTCTTTTCTTTTTGATAATGTAATTTATATTTAAGTATACTGTTACTATATCTCTTCTGACACACTCTTGTCATATAAAGTATTATATAAGTGAAAACTTGTAAATGGCCTTCATTTTTGTTATAATTATATTATTTTTGTAAATTAGCTGTAAGTTTTCCAAGCAAATAAAAATAAAATAAAATAAAATAAAATAATTCTTATGCGCGATGCGACAAGAATTGGGACGGGGTGTTGGGAGGGTGGGATGTGGTCGATTGGCGCGTGCGACGATAAAGTAAGACAGTAAGTCACTTAGTCCGACGCCGGCGTCCTTGGGAACGGTTCATTAATCGCTTGACCTAATTTTAGTTTTTCGCGTACACGTCCTTTTAATTTAAAGTTTTTTTTTGTGGATATTTTCATAAGTTTCTTGATTTGTTTGTGATAGGACACGTTAATACTATAATAATAATTGTGTTGAGGAGGTGGTGTGACTATTTGTGCGAAATTTGACGCTTTCTTTTACTGTCTTGTATTTTTTATTTGTGATAGGACTCGTTAATAATAGATAAGTGTTATTTAATAACTTAGTGGTGTGTCAGCCCGTGCGCAATTGGACGCTTTTATTTTTTTAAACGTATAACTTTTTTTATTTTAAAATGCCTCGTATCAATTTTACGTCATTGGAATACACCGATATGGTTTTAATTTATGGAGAATGCCACCAAAACGCGTCCCTGGCATTACGAACATACCGAGAGAGGTATAATACCACACGTGTATGTCCTACAGACTCACGGATTTTTATACGGGCAGTCCAAAGATTACGTGACGGCGAAAATTTGATTCCACGTCAGGTTGAAATTCCTCCGCGAGTCGCCGTGGCTCAGGAAGAACGAATATTAAATTATTTCGCTCGTAATCCAACATCAAGTCTCCGTAGAGCAGCTCGCCAATTCTGTGTACACCACAAGTCTGTTCACAGAATATTAAAAAAAAACAAGCAACGGCCGTTCAAATACGTAAAGGTACAGGCTTTATTAGATAGAGATAAGCCAGTTAGGGAAGCCTACTGTGAATGGCTCCTGAGCAAAGTAGCTAATGACTCTAACTTTTTAGCAAACGTAATGTGGACTGACGAGAGCACATTCACGCGTAACGGAATATGGAATCGGCAGAACTTACGATACTGGAGTCAAGAAAATCCGCAACTGTGTCGAGAGTCTATGCACCAATATAGATTTGCCGTTAATGTTTGGGCTGGAATACACGGAGATCAAATAATTGGTCCCGTGTTTATCGAAGGCAACCTTAATGGGCCTAAATTTTTGGAACTGCTTGACGACACAGTGGCGGATTACGTTGATGGACTATCATTGGGGGCCAATAGCCGGTTATGGTACCAGCTTGATGGAGCACCTGCTCATTCAGTGGTGGCTGCCAGGCAGCGCCTCACTGAGATGTTCGGAGAGAACTGGATTGGCAGATACGGACCTTCTCGGTGGCCAGCACGGTCTCCGGATCTAACACCGTTAGATTTCTTTTTATGGGGTTACATAAAAAATGAGGTGTACTCTACTGAAGTAACGACTGTCGAGGACTTAAAAATAAGAATAATGCGGGCTTTCGACAAAATAAAAAATTTTGCAGCCAATGGTGCCCTCTTTCGAAAAGTCCGAAATAATATCATGCGACGATGTCAATTATGCATTCGGGTACACGGCGGACATTTTGAAAATTTAAAAATTTGATTTGTTTCATAAACTTGAGTGATTTCAAGGTTAAAGTGATTATTTGGATAAAAAAATACCATGAAATTTGTGATTTGTTGATAACATCGGATTAGCATCGCCCTACGCGTGCCTAATTACCTATGTATGGGCAAGTCCTAGGACCTAGGTATTATAATATAATTACCTATATCGATGTCGCATGAGCAATGAACCGCTGGCCGCGACGTTGCCGCTTCTACAAGTCATTTCAGGTCAGTTAAGTAATATTATCAAGGATGATTTATTTTATGTGATTTTTTACCCTATTTATTTTGTTTGAAAGATGCATTTTTTATTAGTTTTTATTATTGTTTATTTTATTATTTTAACAGACATATATCAACTTGTATTAACTGTTGTGCTATTTAACGTGATAACCTGGGCGCCACCCAGTATATTTAAATTGACTTTAATTATATTTAACATTTTCTATTAAAATTACGCTATGCATCTTTATTTCAATGTCATTAGATTTAGTAATATATTGCAATAAATGATGAACTTTCTTAATAGAACACAATATTTTTAAAAGTTTATGAAATTATATGTTATAGAATTTTTGTTCTTTTTAGGACTAAAGTGAGGCAGATTACCAGATTATTTTAAATTCAGAATTATTATTAATTAATTAATATATTAATTTTAACAGTGGTAGTGGTAGTGGTAGCCACGCGGCAGCTTTTCCTGTCGCACGGATGGGCCGGCTCGAACCGGGGTGGTACCACGATCTCACAAAAAAACAGCGTGAAGTAGAGGTTTACCTCTGCGTTTCGCTTGGTGACTGCAGGTGGCCGAAGGCCCTCTTTACTGGAAATGAGGCATTCCATCTTAGTCCTCACGGGTGACAACGCATCTACATATTAATTTGTAATAGAGGATAGATGTAGATGTCTATGGGCCACAGCAACCACTTACCATCAGGTGGACTGTGTGCTCGTTTGTCACCCTTATCCTATAAAAAAAAAGCTCGTGATTAGGACCAACCTCTATCTCCGTCTTTGCAAAAATCAATAATGACCACTTCTAAGGTGTAAAGTTTAACTAGAAGTCATGTCTAAACACGATAAAAAATTGTTTGTTATGTTCAGAGAAGTCTAACAAAAGAAATTACAATTTTTCACATATCATTAATGAGGAATTGGAGCAAATCTTATCATGTTGTATACATACAAGATGCTACTAAAAATATTAGCTTTTCTAAATAGAGTGCAAGGTAACCATATAGACGAAATTAAATTTACCGATACTGAAATTAATAAAGAAAAATAATTTGAATCTAACAAATCATTATGATAAAATTCGGCTATACTTTGCTGTCGACTGTAACCAAATACATACACTAAAAAATCCTGTCTTTTATTTAAAGTAATTATTAAAAACTCCCAATTAACTAGATCATCAGTATAAATCACACTGATATCTACGATCTTGTTTGAATTATAAAAGAGAATTATTACGAGTGCAACCAAATTTTCTGACGCCTCAAGATCAAAATAATATAGTAATCACTTTCGAATTTTATACAAACTTTCATACTTTACGAATATGAAACTATTCAAATAAATAAAATTGAAGTGTCTGTTCGTAACGTCAAAATAACAGATTTTTACTAAATACATATCATAAAAGTATATAATATAAAAAAAATTAAATTTTGTCTGTCCCTATTTTTTTTTTATTATAGAATAAGGGGCAAACGAGCATGCGGCTCACCTGATGGTAAGTGACTACCGCCACCCATGAACAACCGCAACACCAGTGGAATTGCAGATGCGTTGCCGGCCTTTTAGAAAGGTGTAAGCTCTTTTCTTGAAGGTTCCTAAGTCGAATCGGTCCGGAAAATTCGCTGGTGATAATTGATTCCACAAGAAAGTTGTGCGAAGGAGAAAACTTCTTCTAAATCGCACAGTGGTGGATCGCCAATCATCCAGATGGTATGGATGGAAACGCGAGTTTTGTCGCGATGTGCGATGGTGAAATTAGGCGGCTGGAATTAGTCCGAACAATTCCTCAGAGCACTCCCCGTGATAGATGCGATAAAATACTGGTCGACTTGTTGACGACCAGCTAGAGGAGTGCTTTGTTAAAAAACCGCGGAGGATGGTCGGTGTGTTCCTCCGTCATCGAGAGTCGAGTTGGACGCAAAAAGAGAGTTTAACAGATCGGCTTTCTCCTTTGCGGCATGGATTCAGTGAGTCGCCCTCTCTTTGCAGAGAAGGCTGACAGAAGTTCCCTTGGTCAGCCTTAGCAAGAGACTAGAATGCACGGGTTACCGAAG